CAGAGAATCATATATACTCCCATCAGTTTAGGTAAAACGGGGCTGAAAAGTGTTGCTGTTTTAAAGGGTAATTCTAATGATCAATCAGGATGCCACAGACTGTAGCTAAGAAAGAAAGACCTGTTCTAGCGTGGATGTAATATAATTGTTCCTTTTAATTACCGTTTGGTTCATTCCTTGGTTTTTGGGTCAGGGTTTGCTGCAGGAAGAACGCAGCAGCAGAAAGAAGCAACTTTTCCAGCCCTGTAATCCCTTCATTTTCTGTTTGATTAGCAGCTGCCTCCTCTATCAAAGCGTGCTGTCCTCAGAGAAAACGGCGATCCGCCCCTAGTCTACAGAGAGAATTTTGTTCCGTTATTTGTGCTGCGAAGAAGAAGTATTCAGCAAAGAATGAATATTAAAAGGAAATAAGTTATTCCTCTGGAATGAGGAGCAAAAACGCATTTCTGTTGGTCAGCTGGAGGTTAGTGACAACCTCTTATTGGTCCAGAATGAACGGTTGAATTGCGTTGGAAGTAAAGAGAATGTGGTCTGTGAAACGCAATTTAAAAACAAGAAAAATATTAAAAAAAATAAAATCTGTAAAAAATATAAGTTTGGACACATAAAATTTCAAAATATGTGTAAAAAGATAACTTAAAAAGTTGAAGAGATGATTGCAGCTCTGAGTTTCTCTTTAAAGATTTTTGGATTCAGTAGTTTTTTTTTAATAGTTTAATTTCTGGATTGTCTTTTTTCCTAATTTTTTTGAATTACTAAACGTTTTCTTTGCAACAATAATGGTAGCCATCACACTCCATATGAATCTGAATATCACTCTGCTGTCCTGGACTCTGCAGGAAACGTCTCTGACCGTTAGTGACACTATGAGTCTGCTTTAGACATCAGGTCTGCTCCATGAAACCAGACGTTTGTGTTTAACCTGGATTTTAATCTGAACTGAACAGTTCAGCCTTCTTTATTCCCAGGGTTCATTCCGGGCCTCAGAACCAGCCGGTGTGCTGAAGATATCCAACTCATGAACCACATTTAGGGCCTCATGGAAATGTTTTATTTAGACAGGTAGAAGCCTGGGTGGGGGTGGTGCTTTAGCAGCAGAGCAGGCGTCTCTGTTATTAAAGCCACTGATGGAAGCTCAGTGTCCCTTGGTTGACCCTTACAGTGCCAAACCCCCCCCCATCATCAGCCTCTCCTTGGCCACTCGGCCAAATCAAGCCACCTGATTAAAGGATTAGTGAAGCTGCTGGTTGTCATTGTCCTAACCCCCCTGGTGCCATTGGCTACCAATAACCAGACACCTGGCTCTGGGAGGGGGGGGGTAAAACCCAGTCCTCTGAACCAGTCTGACAGTGTGAAGTAGGCCAGGGTTTGTAGAAAATTCAAAATGAGAAACTAAGGCTACGTTCAAACTGCAGCCTGAAGTGACCCAAATCCGATTTTTTTTTTGGCCCATATAGGACCTGTATCTGATCTTTTCATGACAGTCTGAACACAGATCCGACTTTTTTCCAATGCGACCCAGGTTACTTGGCTATGTGGTCCTGAATCCCATACGAATCTGATCTTTTCAGCTGCAACCTGTGTCTGAACGGGCAGGTCGCATTCATCCGACCTGAACGCCATTAATACCCGACAAAGGTCACCTTTCTGGGTGTTGCTATAAGGAAGCAGCAAGAAAAACAACAACCATGGCGGACGATGATGCGGAGAGCAGTATTTATGTTTAACCATCTTGAAAAGATTGTGTTTTTATGGTTGGGAAAGATCGCTACAGTAGATGTGCTCCGGCACTACCATCTATGATTACTTCCGTAAACACAGTGCTCTACTGTGCATGCGGGACACTTGCATTGTATGACTGCAGTTCACACAGGAGCTCACATACAAGTCGCATATATTTGGAAATGTGAACGGCAA